TAACTGAAACAAGCACTGTGATTGGAGCAAGTACTGGGACTGAAGCAAGCACTGTGACTGAAGCAAGCAATGTAACTGAAGCAAGCGCTGTGACTGAAGCAAGCACTCTGACTGAAGCAAGCACTGTGATTGGAGCAAGTACTGGGACTGAAGCAAGTACTGTGTCTGAAGCAAGCAATGTAACTGAAGCAAGCGCTGTGACTGAAGCAAGCACTCTGACTGAAGCAAGCACTGTGATTGGAACAAGTACTGGGACTGAAGCAAGTACTGTGTCTGAAGCAAGTACTGGGACTGAAGCAAGTACTGTGTCTGAAGCAAGCACTGTGCCTAAAAAAGCACTGTGACTGAAGCAAGCACTGTGACTGAAGCAAGCACTGTGCCTGAGACACTGTGCCTGAAGCAAGCACTGTGCCTGAGACACTGTGCCTGAGACACTGTACCTGAGACACTGTGACTGAAACAAGCACAGCGCCTGAGACACTCTGCCTGAAGCAAGCACTGTGCCTGAGACACTGTGCCTGAAGCAAGCACTGTGCCTGAGACACTGTGCCTGAGACACTGTACCTGAGACACTGTGACTGAAACAAGCACAGCGCCTGAGACACTCTGCCTGAAGCAAGCACTGTGCCTGAGACACTGTGCCTGAGACACTGTGCCTGAGACACTGTGCCTGAGACACTGTGCCTGGTAAAGAAAACTGCTGCCGGTGCGTTGTCCTTGGTGTCCCTGACAAGTTTGTCATCTAACTCTTTCAGTAACTTTAGTGTGCACTTTACCCACGATCCAAAGAGGTCGGATCCTGTCCAGACAATGTTGCAGCTTGCTGTGATGCCTCTGTCAGGGTCTTTTTCTTCTCTCTGAAGGTGGTGGAACTACCCTCTTTAAGTTCAGTATATCAGAGGTAAGCCTGGGCCATGGTAGACGTTCATGTGTAGTCCCACACACTGTACCGTGTGTCCAGGGTAGCAGGGTGACTACCTCATCGTTTCTATCTGTCATCAGGTGTTTCTAGGTGTGGTTCCCTTTTATAATGGACTATGGCGAGGCTTCGCTCTGAGCGATGTGTGTCGTGTGTATATATACATGTGGGAGACGGCCGACTTGTTGAAAAAAAAAAAAAAAAAAAAAAAAAAAAAAAAAAAAAAAAATATATATATAATATATATATATATATATATATATATATATATATATATATATTATATATATATATATATATACATATTATTTTTTATTTTTTATTAACACATCGGCCGATTCCCACCAAGGCAGGGTGGCGCGTAAAAGAAAACTTTCATCATCTTTCACTCCATCACTGTCTTGTCAGAGGGGTGCTTTACACTACAGTTATAAAACTGCAACATTGACATCCCTCCTTCAGAGTGTAGACACTGTACTTCCCATCTCCAGGTCCGGCCTGCCGGTTTCCCTGAATCCCTTCATAAATGTTACTTTGTTCACACAACAACAGCACATCAAGTATTAAAAACCATTTGTCTTCATTCTCTCCTATCAAATACGCTCACGCATGCTTGATGGAAGTCCAAGCTCCTCGCACACAAATCCCCCTTTACCCCCTCCCTCCAACCTTTCCAAGGCCTACACCTACCCCGCCTTCCCTCCACTACAGATTTATACACTCTCAAAGTCATTCTGTTTCGTTACATTCTCTCTACATGTCCGAACCACTTCAACAACCTTTCTTCAGCCCTCTGGACAACAGTTTTGGAAATCCTGCACCTCCTCCTAACTACGAATTCTCTGCAATATATTCACACGACACCTTGCCCTCAGACATGACATCTCCACTGCCTCCAGCCTTATCCACGCTGCAACATTCATCACCCATGCTTCACACCCATATAAGAGTGTTGGTACAACTATACTCTCATACATTCCCCTCTTTGCTTCCAAGGACAAAGTTCTTTGTCTCCACAGACTCCTATGTGCACCGCTCACCCTGGATGATGGTACCCTAGCTGGCACAACAGAATCTTTCCTAGAGGACATCAGTAAAATTAAAGACATGGGAGAAAGCCTGGGCCTATCTTTAAACCCCACCAAATGTGAAATAGTTTCTACCAATCGACAGATGATCCAGAATATTAGCGCCGTTTTACCAGAAGCTTGAGCCATTGATCCAGCCAATAGCACTCAATGCCATCGATCTGATCCTAGAAATAAAAGTCTCAGACCTCCGGACGATGGAAAGCAGGATGAAAGACATTGACACACATGATGCCTTCTACCTACTCACCAGGTGCCTGTCAATCCCAAAACTTACCTACTTTCTGAGATGCTCCCCAGCCTTCAGCAGTCCAAAACTCAAGGAATATGACTCTCTCCTTAAGACCATGCTAGAGAGTGTATTGAATCTTTCCCTTGAAGATGGACAGTGGTTGCAAGCTTCACTTCCGGTCAGTCTTGGGGGGCTAGGAGTACGCAGATCCTCCCAGATTGTTCTACCAGCTTTCCTATCCTCTTCCATAGCATCAAACGAGTTGATAAGACAAATTCTTCCTGACAACCTCAGTGACTCAGCAGGAATACAGGACCCTAGCTATGCCAGTGCCATCACTGAATGGGAGACTCTTGCTGCTCCAGCACCAAACCCTAGTGCAGCACTGGCTCACAAACAGTCAAGCTGGGATGGCCCAATCGCTGAAAAGGTGCTTGCCAACATGCTCAGGGCTGCAACATCAGATAGGGAGACTGCCCGTCTCCAGGCTGTGAACGCACCTCACTCTGGGGACTTCCTCCAAACAGTTCCCATATCGGCAATGGGAACGTGACCCTAAGACCCTTCATATTGCAGTGGCTCTGCGCCTTGCTGCCCCAATTCACACAGTATATACGTGTATTTGCAGCGAAGCGCAAGCAGACCAATACGGTCTACATAGTCCTAACTGTTCCAAAACTAAGGGCTGGCATGCAAGACACAATGAGGTTAACGACATCATAAAGAAAACCCTTGCTACAGCTGGATGCCCAGCCGAGAGGGAGCCTCGATCACTAGCAGCCAACAATACACACAACCCAGCAAACTGCCCCGACGGGATCACCATCTATCCTTGGAAGAATGGCAAGCTCTTAGCATGGGACTATACCTGTGTGTCCACACTGGCTGACACCTATATCCATCACAGTGTCGGGCGACAGGGAGGAGCTGCTGACCACAGGAGGAGTACAAGATCAGCAAGTACAGGGACTTAAGCCAACAGTATCAATTTGTCCCAGTGGGATCAGAGACCTTGGGATCATGGGGAAAAAATGCTACACGTTTCCTTAAAGAATTGGGCTCCAGACTCATCGACACCACCAGGGACCAAAGGGCAGCCACTTTCATGTTCCAGCGCCTCAGCGTGGCCATCCAGAGGGGAAATGCTTGCTGTATACTTGGCTCCCGTCCGGCTTCGGAGGAGATGGAGGAAATTCATGATCTTTAATACATTGTACCATTGTATTCACGTTTGTGTTTTCTGTAAATGTATTCTGTTTATTAATAAATGTTCACTTAGAATATAAAATATAGGGGGTGGTAGGAGAAGAAAATATTCAAACAGCTCCGGGGAGAACCTTGAGTTTTCCCTGAGGTACGTTTATTGTCTTCTCTGAGGATGAGGGTCCCCATTCCAGCTATAGAGGTGGTACTTCCCTATATATCAATATATATATATATATATATATTATATATATATATATATATATATATATATATATATATATATATATATTATATATATATATTATATATATATAATATATATATATATATATATATATATATATATATTTATTATTATTTATTTATTATACATATATATGTGTGTGCGTGTGTGTGACGACTATGTCTGGGCTACTTAGGAGCGCCACAATGTGCTCTTTCTGTGAGGGCTGGAGTGATGACAGAAATCACACACACACACACACACACACACACACCCCACACACACACACACACACACACACACACACACACACACACACACACACACACACACACACACACACAACACACACACACACACACACACACACACACACACACACACACACACACACACACACACACACACACACACACAACAACACACACACAACACACACACACATACACACACACGGGGCCAGGAGCTTGGACTCGACCCCTCGCAACCTCAACTAGGTGAGCACACACACACACACAACACACACACACACACACACACACACACACGCACGCATATATATACATACATATATATATATATATATATATATATATATATATATATATATATATATATATATATATATATATATACATTTACATATATATTCTCCATGGGAAAGTGGAATAGAATTCTTCCTCCGTAAGCCATGCGTGTCGTAAGAGGCGACTAAAATGCCAGGAGCAAGGTGCTAGTAACCCCTTCTTCTGTATACATTACTAAAGTTAAAAAGAGAAACTTTCGTTTTCTTTTTTGGTGGCCTAAAATACAATGTTCATGACTTCTGTGCACGAAAGAACAATTGTGCAATGTCGTGAAAGCAACATTTGTAAGAAGTATTGTCTTATAATGGAAGGAAAGTTCGGCTCAGTGTATCATCATATGACTAAGACCCGCGTCAGGAGAAGTTTTTTCCTGCCGAATATCCCCCCAACTCCTTCACTGACCTAATAAATTCTCCCAGCTCAGGCTGACAAAATTATTACTCTACGTGTGAAATCCATCCTGCATGATGGAATATATCAAGGGAAACATAGCCAGTTTTTACTCACACTCTGCAACCATTACATAGGATAAGATGACTTCACACTGTATGTGTACAAAATATCGTTAAATAAACATACAAAACCAATTTCTGCCTGTTCCCGACATTCATTACCCCGCACCCACCCCGTCCTTCTCAGTCATAAACACTTTGCTGCTCCAGATGTTATGGTATGTTGTGCTTACTCAACAACATCCAAGGCCATCGTCATCTCGTTGTAACACTTCCTGTGTGACTTCCTGTGACAACTGTGTATAAATAATGTAGCTTTTTGGTAACCCTCAGTAACCCAAACACACCCCTACAGCAAACATGGTAACTAGAATGTCCCATACACAGCTTGTATAGTAGTAGTACGTCTCTGTTGAGACTGAGGCACAGAGAACGGAGTCTCAGCAGTGGTTAAGCTCTTTGTAAAATAACAGTGATCCAATTCTTAAGTTATGCTAAATATTTCCATAGTAAACCACTTTTAACTAAGGCTCAATTACAGTATTATCCTGCCTAACCTAATGGCATCTTTATTATGGAGCAGTGATACTGGGTCCAGATCTTACTTAATAGTGGTTATGTTTACAACTTGACTGAGACATATTTGGTTCCCTGCCTTCAGAAGCATATTGTCTACACCCTGGCGGTCCTGAGTGTTGCACTTGCTTGGGCTGACGCAACCAAAATTGGCTCGCTTGGCGGACTTGGTAATCCACTCGGAGGACTTCTAGGACTCGGAGCTGGACTCGCAGGACTTGGTAATGGAATTGGAGGATATGGTGGATTGAATAATGGATTTGGAGGATACGGAGGACTGAATAATGGATTTGGAGGATACGGTGGACTCGGTAATGGAGGCTACGGTGGATTCGGCAATCCATTTGGAGGAGTTGGTAATGGATTTGGAGGATTCGGTTGGCTCGGAAATCTCGGTAATGGATTTGGACTGTACGGTGGACCTTTCAATGGACTGAAAGGACTCCCAGGACTTGGAGGCCTCGGCAATAAATTTGGAAGCTATGGAGGTAAGTTTTTAAACTCCCGTAATACATTGTTTTTAATCGTAATAATGTGAAATGTTAAACCCGTTTACTTCATCTTTTCACTTTGTTAATGTCCAGGTTCATTCACTTCTTAATAGCAATAAAACATTAATTTAACTTTACAAATAACATCTGTAAAAGGATATTATATATTGCATGTGTTCACCTGTGTAATTTGTCAACATAGTGAGAGGAAATTAGAAGTATTTTTCACAAGAACTTGATTTTCTAGAGGAACTCTCATACCTTTGATTTACCTTTGATGAGTTTCGAGAGTCTTACTACTCTCTTGCCCACAACTGGATCCAACTTCATCCCGTTCCCCATTTGTATGTTTCATGACGATAAAAGCTTAATCAAGAAAATGCTAGGGAAGGTTCTCAAGTGAGGTGAGGTAGGGATCAGTTCCTAGCTTGTAGATGAAGGTATGAAACAGCTCCTAGCTTGTAGATGAAGTAGGAAACAGCTCTTAGTTGTAGATTAAGTAGAAAACAGCTCCTATTTAGATGAAGGTGGGGAAACATCTCTAGTGTAGATGAGGTAGGAACAGTTCCTAGCTTGTAGATGAAGGTATGAAACAGCTCTTAGCTTGTAGATGAAGGTAGGAAACAGCTCTTAGCTTGTAGATGAAGGTAGGAAACAGCTCCTAGCTTGTAGATAAAGGTAGGTAACAGTTCCTAGCTTGTAGATGAAGGTATGAAACAGCTCCTAGCTTGTAGATGAAGGTATGAAACAGCTCCTAGCTTGTAGATGAAGGTATGAAGCAGCTCCTAGCTTGTAGATGAAGGTATGAAACAGCTCCTAGCTTGTAGATGAAGGTATGAAACAGCTCTAGCTTGTAGATGAAGGTAGAAACAGCTCCTTAGCTTGTAGATGAAGGTAGGGAAACAGCTCCTAGCTTGTAGATGAAGGTATGAAACAGCTCCTAGCTTGTAGATGAAGGTAGGAAACAGCTCTTAGCTTGTAGATGAAGGTAGGAAACAGCTCCTAGCTTGTAGATAAAGGTAGGTAACAGTTCCTAACTTGTAGATAAAGGTAGGTAACAGTTCCTAGCTTGTAGATAAAGGTAGGAAACAGCTTCTAGCTTGTAGATGAAGGTAGGTAACAGTTCCTAGCTTGTAGATAAAGGTAGGCAACAGCTCCTAGCTTGTAGATAAAGGTAGGTAACAGTTCCTAGCTTGTAGATAAAGATAAGCAACAGTTCCTAGCTTGCAGATAAAGGTAGGTAACAGTTCCTAGCTTGTAGATAAAGGTAGGCAACAGCTCCTAGCTTGTAGATAAAGGTAGGAAACAGCTCCTAGTTTGTAGATAGAGGTAGGTAACAGTTCCTAGCTTGTAGATAAAGGTAGGCAACAGCTCCTAGCTTGTAGATAAAGGTAGGAAACAGCTCCTAGTTTGTAGATAAAGGCAGGTAACAGTTCCTAGCTTGTAGATAAAGGTAGGCAACAGCTCCTAGCTTGTAGATAAAGGTAGGAAAAGCTCTAGTTTGTAGATAAAGGCAGGTAACAGTTCCTAGCTTGTAGATAAAGGTAGGCAACAGCTCCTAGCTTGTAGATAAAGGTAGGAAACAGCTCCTAGTTTGTAGATAAAGCAGGTAGACACGTTCCTACTGTAGTAAAGGTAGCAACGCTTCTCTTGAGATAAAGGTAGGAAACAGCTCCTATTGTAATCAAAGCAGGTAACAGTTCCTAGCTGTAGATAAGGTAGGCAACAGCTCCTGCTTGTAGATAAAGGTAGGAACAGCTCCTAGTTTGTAATATAAGGTAGGTAACAGTTCTAGCTGTAGATAAAGGTAAACATCCTAGTTTGTAGATAAAGGTAGGTAACATTCCTACTTTAGATAAATACGGACTCGTTCTTGACTGTAGATCTTTGATGTAATATATTTTCAGCGGTCAAATGGTCTCGGAGGTGGATAGAGCTTCTCTTGCTCGTAATGAATTAACCTTATATATATATATATATATATATATATATAGAGATAGAGAGAGAGAGAGAGAGAGAGAGAGAGAGAGAAGATGAGAAGAGAGATAGAGAGAAGAAAGGAGATATAGAGAGAGAATGAGAGAGAGAGAGAGAGAGAGAGAGAGAGAGAGAGAGAGAGAGAGAAATATTATTTAATTTGCAGTTAAATTCTTATGATTATAAATTGTTTAGTTCTATTTGAAGATCTGGTGTAGCGCTAAACCCTTGTGGGTGGGACTTTCAAGGATGCTTGGAGGCTCGGTCCTCCGTCTGCTAATCTCGCACTAACTAAACTTAACATGTTTTCCAGGCTTTGGAAAGTAAAGGATGATGATGGTGTGAGGCCTCAGGTGGGGAGTTCCTCCGGCGCCTCCACTCACACGTGAGGCCTCAGGTGGGAAGTTCCTCCGGCGCCTCCACTCACACGTGAGGCCTCAGGTGGGGAGTTCCTCCGGCGCCTCCACTCACACGTGAGGCCTCAGGTGGGAAGTTCCTCCGGCGCCTCCACTCACACGTGAGGCCTCAGGTGGGAGTTCCTCCGGCGCCTCCACTCACACGTGAGGCCTCAGGTGGGAGTTCTCCGGCGCTCCACTCACACGTGAGCCTCAGGTGGGAGCTCCGGCGCCTCCACTCACACACTGCTACAATAACAAAACATTTATAATAATCAGTGTCGATGATAAAAACATTTTTATTCTAAATTTTTTCACTATATTTTTCTTTATCCTTTCTTACTAGCAGTTATTCATTGGTTTATAAATTTAGAATACTGAGTCTCAATTGTCGACTGACTATCGTAGATGACCTCTTGGGAGGTCATGTTGGGGTCAAGGCGTCTTGATCCACGGTACTGGAGTTTTATTCTCCTTCCTTGGAGCAGACACTTCTCTCTTCCAACATATGTAACGTTTCAACCACACGATTAAATGGAATGAGGCTTCAGCTGTACTCAAGACAACTCATCACTACAATATGTAAATCATTAAGTCGACTTTAATCGGCGCTCAAAAAAAATTGAATATCTTGAAGGGAAGCTGGCAACCTGGTGCCACCAGCACACTTATGATGATGGATGATTTTGCAGCAATAAGTACATGTGTTCCCAGAACCATCAAGGAGCAGTAGACCTTATGCAGTGCACTTAACATCTATCTCTCATAAATATAATATATATATATATATATATATATATATATAATATATATATATATATATATAATATATATATATATATATATATATATATATATATATATATATATATATATATATATATATATATATAATATACATATATATTATGCAATAAGATCACAGTAAACAGGTGATTTCAGAATATGCAAAACAACCACTGCGAAAGAATATAGAAATTCCAAGCGCTTTCGTGACTACTCACATTATCAAGGAACAATGAAAGTAATGAATCAAAGGAAGGCATATAAAGGGTCTAGCCCACACCTCACTATCACATCCCACAACAAAGCAACACCTGACGCGCGATTCGTAAGAAAGGGAACACTGCAGCAGGCCCGCTGGCCCAACTAGACAGGTCCTTCACAAAACCCACCAACAAACTATTCTACCCAAGAATTAGAATTTTAAAATTTATTATTTGTCCAATGTATTATTAAATTCTTCCCAAATTCTATTAATTATAAATGGATCTAATTTATATAAACCAAAGGAAATATTCATATTATTTTCAAAACTGCTTTTTATGAAACAAGATTCAATTATATTCCTGTCGACCATGGACTTGCTTGATTCAACTTTCTCAACTTTTTGAAAATCAATTGGATGGTTAAAATCTCTCACATGAATAAATAGAGCATTGGAATCTTGTCCAGTTCTAATGCTATATTTATGTTGTTTTAATCTTAGTTCGAGATTTTTACCAGTTTGACCGTAATAAACTTTATCGCAAATTTTACAAGGAATCTTATAGACACATCCATCAGCATTTTGGGGGAATTCTTTATCAAAAGTTTTTTTACTGTATCAAGATTTTTGAATACAACTTTAATATTAAAAGTCTTAAGAAGAGAAGGCATATCAACCAAGTTTTCATGGTAAGGGAGAACCAACATATTTTTAGTTGAATAGGGCTGGTTGTCCCTTTTTGGATTGTAAAAAGTATTTCTAGCAGTTTTAAAATATTTATCAATTACGTTTCTTGGGTATTTCAAATCATTACCTATTTCATAAATTTTGGATATTTCCTCATCTATGAACTCAGGACTACAAATTCGTAAAGCTCTCAAAAACATTGATGAGAAAACCGACAGTTTAACTCTGTCTTGATGTGAAGAATAATAGTGGACATAGGAACAGTTATTTGTAGGTTTTCTGTAAATTTTAAATTTGAATTCATTATTACTCTTAATAATTAAAACATCTGGAAAAGGCAATGAGTTATTTTCTTCAAACTCAACAGTAAAGTTTATAGAATGGGCTAAGTTATTTAATTTGCCAAGAAAATGTGCATATCTACATTCTTGGGCATAAGACACAAAATATCATCAACATATCTAAACCATTTAGCTCTATTAGGGAGGATTGTGTTAAGCAGCCTTGTTTCAAAAAATTCTATATATAGGTTACTAAGAACAGGTGAAAGAGGATTTCCCATTGCCATACCAAACTTCTGAGTGTAAAACTTATCATTAAATACAAATTTTGCATCAACAATGCAAAGTTTAATAAGTTTAATGATAGTAGGAACTGGCAAAGGTAAATCATAATTAACGAGTTCTTCAGATAAGAAACTTGTTCCTTGATAATGTGAGTAGTCACGAAAGCGCTTGGAATTTCTATATTCTTTCACAGTGGTGTTTTGCATATTCTGAAATCACCTTTAGTGTTACTTGATATAATAATATTATATATAATATATATATTATATATATATTAATAATATATTATATATATATATAATTATATATATATATCATATATATTATATATATATATATATATTATATATATATATATAATAATATATTATATATATATATATAATATATAAAAATATATATATATATTATATAATATATATATATAAATATATAATATATATATATATATATATATATATATATATATATATATATATATATATAATATATATATATAATATATATATATATATTTATATACTGCTTGAATACGAGACAATATCCTGAGGCACATTTTTTACGAAAGTACCCAACCTTACATTAGAAGACGGGCAGTGGGGACCAAGCTATACTTACACAGTCATACTAGGAGATAATGGTATCCGCAGGGCATCACAGTTTCCACTACCTGTTTTCCTGTCCTCATATGTTACATTTGAACTTATAGCAGCGATTCTCCCTGAACACCTTAGGGACGATGTTGGAGTTCATGACCAAAAGTTCGGTGATAAAGCCACGTTCTGGGGTAATCTAACGGACTCTGAGACCAGACCTGCTCCCCCCCATCAACTAGAGTCTCACTGAGATGACCCAGTATTGGAGAATATAGTCTCAGCAATGCTTCAGAGTGTGTCGGAGAAGGATAGAGCCCACCTCATAGCAGTGAGAGCTCCTCTCTTGGCACACGTCTCGACCCACAGACCATCCTCATAGGTGTTGCTCATAGTCTTGCCGCCCCTATTCTAGCCAAACACAGGTGTATTTGCATCAGTGAATCGACATACCGATTTGGGTACGAAGGTCTTGGTTGCCATAGATCCGAGGGAAAGACTGTATGGCATAATGATGTTATCTAGGCTGGAATATTGCTGCACACTAACAGCACCTTTCAAGGCAGGTGAAATTGCTGACCTAGAAAATGTACAGAGAACCTTCACGACACATAACTGCGATAAAACACCTCAGTTACTGGGAACGCTTGAAGTTCCTGAACCTGTACCCCCTAGAATGTAGGCGAGTGAAATACATGATTATATACACTTGGAAAATTCTAGAGGGATTAGTACCAAACTTGCACATGGAAATCACTCCCTCTGAAAGCAAAAGACTTGGCAGACGATGTAACATCCCCCCAACGGAAAGCAGGGGTGCCACTAGCACGTTAAGAGAAAACACAATAAGTGTCACGGGTCCAAGACTGTTCAACTACCTCTCAGCATACATAAGGGGGGTTACCAATAGACCCTGGCTGTCTTCAAGAAGGCACTGGACAAGCACCTAAAGTCAGTACCTGACAAGCCGGGCTGTGGTTCATACATCGGGTTGCATGCGGCCAACAGTACCAGCCTGGTTGATCAGGCCCTGATCCACCATGATCAGGGCTGTGGGGGACGTTAATCCCCGAAACCCATTCCAGTTAAAAACAGAGAAGAGGAGTTATCAGATGGGGAGATGGAGGTTTTGGGTAGATGGCGAGAATATTTTGAGGAACTTTTAAATGTCGACGAAGAAAGGGAGGCGGTAATTTCATGCACTGGCCAGGGAGGTATACCATCTTTTAGGAGTGAAGAAGAGCAGGATGTGAGTGTGGGGGAGGTACATGAGACATTACGTAGAATGAAAGGGGGTAAAGCAGCTGGAACTGACGGGATCATGACAGAAATGTTAAAAGCAAGGGGGGACATAGTGTTGGAGTGGTTGGTATTTTTGTTTAATAAATGAATGAAAGAGGGGAAGGTACCTAGGGATTGGCGGAGAGCATGTATAGTCCCTTTATATAAAGGGAAGGGGGGCAAAAGAGATTGTAAAAATTATAGAGGAATAAGTTTACTGAGTATACCAGGAAAAGTGTACGGTAGGGTTATTATTGAAAGAATTAGACGTAAGACAGAATGTAGAATTCCGGATGAGCAAGGAGGTTTTAGAGTGGGTAGGGGATGTGTAGATCAAGTGTTTACATTGAAGCATATATGTGAACAGTATTTAGATAAAGGTAGGGAAGTTTTTATTGCATTTATGGATTCAGAAAAGGCATATGATAGAGTGAATAGGGGAGCAATGTGGCAGATGTTGCAAGTATATGGAATAGGTGGTAAGTTACTAAATGCTGTAAAGAGTTTTTATGAGGATAGTGAGGCTCAGGTTAGGGTGTGTAGAAGAGAGGGAGACTACTTCCCGGTAAAAGTAGGTCTTAGACAGGGATGTGTAATGTCACCATGGTTGTTTAATATATTTATAGATGGGGTTGTAAAAGAAGTAAATGCTAGGGTGTTGGGGAGAGGGGTGGGATTAAATTATGGGGAATTAAATACAAAATGGGAAGTGACACAGTTACTTTTTGCTGATGATACTGTGCTTATGGGAGATTCTAAAGAAAAATTGCAAAGGTTAGTGGACGAATTTGGGAATGTGTGTAAAGGTAGAAAGTTGAAAGTGAACATAGAAAAAAGTAAGGTGATGAGGGTATCAAATGATTTAGATAAAGAAAAATTGGATATCAAATTGGGGAGGAGGAGTATGGAAGAAGTGAATGTTTTAAGATATTTGGGAGTTGACGTGTCAGTCGATGGATTTATGAAGGATGAGGTTAATCATAGAATTGATGAAGGAAAAAAGATGAGTGGTGCATTGAGGTATATGTGAAGGCAAAAAATGTTAGCTATGGAGGCAAAGAAGGGAATATATGAAAGTATAGTAGTACCAACACTCTTATATGGGTGTGAAGCTTGGGTTGTAAATGCTGCAGCAAGGAGGCGGTTGGAGACAGTGGAGATGTCCTGTTTAAAAGCAATGTGTGGTGTAAATATTATGCAGAAAATTCGGAGTGTGGAAATTAGGAGAAGGTGTGGAGTTAATAAAAGTATTAGTCAGAGGGCTGAAGAGGGTTTGTTGAGGTGGTTTGGTCATTTAGAGAGAATGGATCAAAGTAGAATGACATGGAGAGCGTATAAATCTGTAGGGGAAGAAAGGCGGGATAGGGTCGTCCTCGAAAAGATTGGAGGGAGGGGGTAAAGGAGGTGTTGTGGGCGAGGGGTTTGGACTTCCAGCAAGCGTGCGTGAGCGTGTTAGATAGGAATGAATGGAGACAAATGGTATTTGGGACCTGACGATCTGTTGGAGTGGGATTCAGGGAAACCGGTTATTTTATATAACCGGACTTGAGTCCTGGAAATGGGAAGTACAATGCTTGCACTCTAAAGGAGGGGTTTGGGATATGGCAGTTTGGAGAGATATATTTTATTTTTCGTATTCTTTAACTGTTGTATTCGGGCACCTCTGCAAAAACAGTGATTATGTGTGAGTGAGGTGAAAGTGTTGAATGATGATGAAAGTATTTTTTTTTCTTTTTGGGGATTTTCTTTCTCTTTGGGTCACCCTGCCTCGGTGGGAGACTGCCGACTTGTTGAAAAAATATATATATATATATATAAATATAATTATATATATATATATATATATATATATATATATATATATATATATATATAAATTATATATATATATATATATATATATATATATATATATATATATATATATTATAATATATATATATATATATATTTATATATATATATATATATATATATAATATATATATATATATATATATATATATATATATATATATATATATATATATATATATATATATACCTAACGTAACGTAACTTACCGAAGCTTTGCTCAAACGCTTTACTCAAGCTTTACAGAATGCTGCATGCCAGTGAGGTACAGGGATCCGAGAGTTGCTTGCTGTTGTTAACCACTTTTCTCTACATGCTCGTTCAATATGAATGTGATAAAGAAGACTCTCCATCTTTCTGCCGTCTTTTGTTTGAGGAAGCAACAGCACAGTGCTATCAGGTACCTCAGAATCCTTCAGATAAACACTGATTTGTCACGACTCCTGAGATGCCAGCACTGTAACGCTGGCGTGACGGTCACGTCGTGTGCCTCAACTCTATTGACCATTGCAGTCTTTTATGTGAATGGGATGCGAGACTGTAAGGTTTCTACCTGTATTACTACGGCCATTAAGGATGTATATAACCTTTTCACCTTCAGACATGAATATTATAATCGCTAATATAGGGATTTAGATAAACTATCGGTATATAAACTTACGCAGCGAGTGTAGTACACATCTCGGTGTATATATCCTTTGCTACATTATAAGATGTCTCCTGAACGACCCTCAGTTTATTATTAGCACTGTGCTACACTAAGCTTTTCCCTTATTTAAAAACGCTAAGATTTCACAGATAATTTGTTAACATAAATATATGTATGGAAGAGGGTAAGGTACCTAGGGATTGGCAGAGAGCATGCATAGTTCCTTTGTATAAAGGCAAAGGGGACAAAAGAGAGTGCAAAAATTATAGGGGGATAAGTCTGTTGAGTATACCTGGTAAAGTGTATGGTAGAGTTATTATTGAAAGAATTAAGAGTAAGACGGAGAATAGGATAGCAGATGAACAAGGAGGCTTTAGGAAAGGTAGGGGGTGTGTGGACCAGGTGTTTACAGTGAAACATATAAGTGAACAGTATTTAGATAAGACTAAAGAGGTCTTTGTGGCATTTATGGATTTGGAAAAGGCGTATGACAAGGTGGATAGGGGGGCAATGTGGCAGATGTTGCAGGTGTATGGTGTAGGAGGTAGGTTACTGAAAGCAGTGAAGAGTTTTTACGAGGATAGTGAGGCTCAAGTTAGAGTATGTAGGAAAGAGGGAAATTATTTCCCAGTAAAAGTAGGCCTTAGACAAGGATGTGTGATGTCACCACGTTTGTTTAATATATTTATAGATGGGGTTGTAAGAGAAGTAAATGCGAGGGTCTTGGCAAAAGGCCTGGAGTTAAAGGATAAAGAATCACACATAAAGTGGGAGTTGTCACAGTTGCTCTTTGCTGATGACACTGTGCTCTTGGGAGATTCTGAAGAGAAGTTGCAGAGATTGGTGGATGAATTTGGTAGGGTGTGCAAAAGAAGAAAATTAAAAGTGAATACAGGAAAGAGTAAGGTTATGAGGATAACAAAAAGATTAGGTGATGAAAGATTGGATATCAGATTGGAGGGAGAGAGTATGGAGGAGGTGAATGTATTCAGATATTTGGAAGTGGACGTGTCAGCGGATGGGTCTATGAAAGATGAGGTGAATCATAGAATTGATGAGGGGAAAAGGGTGAGTGATGCACTTAGGAGTCTGTGGAGACAAAGAACTTTGTCCTTGGAGGTAAAGAGGGGAACGTATGAGAGTATAGTTTTACCAACGCTCTTATATGGGTGTGAAGCATGGGTGATGAATGTTGCAGCGAGGAGAAGGCTGGAGGCAGTGGAGATGTCATGTCTGAGGGCAATGTGTGGTGTGAATATAATGCAGAGAATTCGTAGTTTGGAAGTTAGGAGGAGGTGCGGGATTACCAAAACTGTTGTCCAGAGGGCTGAGGAAGGGTTGTTGAGGTGGTTCGGACATGTAGAGAGAATGGAGCGAAACAGAATGACTTCAAGAGTGTATCAGTCTGTAGTGGAAGGAAGGCGGGGTAGGGGTCGGCCTAGGAAAGGTTGGAGGGAGGGGGTAAAGGAGGTTTTGTGTGCGAGGGGCTTGGACTTCCAGCAGGCATGCGTGAGCATGTTTGATAGGAGTGAATGGAGACAAATGGTTTTTTAATACTTGACGTGCTGTTGGAGTGTGAGCAAAGTAACATTTATGAAGGGATTCAAGGAAACCGGCAGGCCGGACTTGAGTCCTGGAGATGGGAAGTACAGTGCCTGCACTCTGAACGAGGGGTGTTAATGTTGCAGTTTAAAAACTGTAGTGTAAAGCACCCTTCTGGCAAGACAGTGATGGAGTGAATGATGGTGAAAGTTTTTCTTTTTCGGGCCACCCTGCCTTGGTGGGAATCGGCTAGTGTAAAAAAAATATATATATATTGAAGGATAAAAAGAATGTAGAGTTTAGAATGCAGAATTTATTTGCTGGAGTAACGTTTACACCAGAAAGATGAAGTCTGGAGGACATGTGCGAATACTGATGACTTATTACTTGCCATAACCTGTGGAAACAAAGTCAATGTTAACACACCAATCCTTCTGATTATGTAAATGTATATATATATATATATATATATATATATTATAATATATATATATATATATATATATATTATATATATATATATATATATATATATATATATATATATATATATATATATATATATGTAATACACGCACACACACACACACACACAACACACACACACACAACACACACACACACACACACACACACACACACACACCACACACACACACACACATATATATATATATATATATATATATATATAATATATATATATATATATATATATATATATATATATATATATATATATATATATATATATGCAATACAAAGACGGGGAGTTGAATGATAGCTCTAGGCTTTTCGTGTTGAAATCAACACATCATGAGCCTGCAATGTTGCAGAAAAGAGGAGAAGGTCCGAGCAGACAACTGTAATTCTGATCAGTGTTGTTGCTGTATCAGGTGAATGTAGGAAGAAAATGTATTACTCACGTCCATAGCCGCCGCCACCGAAGCCGCCGCCACCGAAGCCGCCGCCACCGAAGCCGCCGCCACCGAAGCCACCGCCACCGAAACCGCCACGTCCGTACCCGCCGCCATGACCGCCAAACCCGCCACCACCGAAGCCTTTACCTGGAAACATCAGTATATAAGGGCTTTACCCGAAAAAATATAGCGGTTTACCTGGAGTTTACCTGGAGAGGGTTTCGGGGGTCAACGCCCCAGCGGCCCGGTCTGAAACCAGGCCTCATGGTGGATCAGGGTCTGATCAACCAGGCTGTTACTGCTGACCGCACGGAAGCTGACGTACGAACCACAGCCTGGTTGGTCAGGTACTGACTTTAGTTGCCTGTCCAGTGCCTTCTTGAAGACAGCCAGGGGTCTATTGGTAATCCCCATTATGTATGCTGGGAGGCAGTTGAACAATCTTGGGCCCCAGACACTTATTGTGTTGTCTCTCAGTGTACTCGTGGCGCCCCTGCTTTCCACTGGTGGAATGTTGCATCTCCTGCCGAGTCTTGCTTTCATAGGGAGGGATTTTCGTGTGCAGGTTTGGTACCAATCCCTCCAGGACCTTCCAAGTGTATATTATCATGTATCTCTCTCGCCTGCGTTCCAGGGAATACAGATCAAGGACCTTCAACTGTTCCCAGTAGTTTAGATGCTTTATCTTACTTATGTGTGCCTTGAAAGTTCTTTGTACACTCTCCTGGTCTGCAACGTCGTCAGCCTTGAAGGGGACCGTTAGTGTACAGGAATATTCCAGCCTAGAGAGCACAAGTGAATTAAAGAGAATCATCATGGTCTTTAGCGTCCCTAGTTTTGAAGGTTCTCATTATTCATCCTAGCATTTTCCAAGCGGGTAAGGTAGATCAGTTAGTGATTTATTATTTATATACCGGGAACTTACCATAACCTCCTGAGCCTCCATTGTTCAAGCTCCTTGTTCACGCTGATGAACTTTAGTTGCCATAACACATTTAAATACATAATTATAATGCCGACCATATACTGAGGAAACACGCTGGCTTGTAATTTTTTGTGCTTATTTAATATAATTACACAAGTAGAAACCATAATACATTTATAAGACTTTCAGAAAAATGATACCATGACTTCCCTTACTACAAACAACACAACTAAGGAATTTATTCATTTATGGAACTTTGAAACAGCAATGCTTTCTAAATTAACACATGCAACGTACCTCCATATCCACCGCCAAAGCCTCCGCCACCGCAACATCCACCGCCGCCACCGCCACCATAACCACCTCCTCCAAATCCACCGCCACCAAAGCCGCCACCGAATTTACCAGCGCTAACCCACGCCACCACCAGACACACCACAACAAGGGTGTATACTCGACGAATCTGGAAAAGTATAGAAATTATGTACCACATTTGTTACAAACGTTAGAATTAACATTGACGAAGTATACAACAGTAAATAATTAGTATTGATAAAGTATACAACAAACAATTAGCATTGATAAAGTATACAGCAGTAAACAATTAACATTGATAAAATATACAACAGTAAACAATTAACATTGATAAAGTATACAACAGTAAACAATTAACATTGATAAAATATACAACAGTAAACAATTAACATTGATAAAATATACAACAGTAAACAATTAACATTGATAAAATATACAACAGTAAACAATTAACATTGACGAAGTATACAACAGTAAATAATTAGTATTGATAAAGTATACAACAAACAATTAGCATTGATAAAGTATACAGCAGAAAACAATTAACATTGATAAAGTATACAGCAGTAAACAATTAACATTGATAAAGTATACAACAGTAAACAATTAACATTGATGAAGTATACAACAGTAAACAATTAACATTGATGAAGTATGCAACCCTAAATAATTCATAACCAAAATTATAAATTTTGAGAATAGGTTAGACAAAAGTTTGAGTAGGGGAGGGGTGGGAGAGGGGAGGGGGAAGCTGAACTGGAAGAAGAACAGGCCAGTATAGGCCAGTAGGCCTGTTATAAAACTATTCCTACATTCTTATGTTACTGTGTAATGTTATGCAATAATAAAACCCAGTTTCTAGGAAAGACGTGATTCCCGAGTCATCGGACATTAACACGACATCTTCAGAGGAAGACGAAGTGTGGCGTGTGAACTTTATATGTGATACATGAACAGGACATGTGATATACGAAGAACACATGTAATACGTGAAAAATACATGATGCTTGTGAGCAGGAAACATGATATGTGAAGAGAACATGTGTTACGAGGAGAGGACACATAGAATGGAGCAATGATACTGCCACCAAGTTTTTCTTAAAAGCGCCTTTGCTATCGTATTTTTTATTGTTAAATTATCAATAGAAAGATATGTTGCTTACCATGGTTGACTCGGCACTGGCGTGAGAGAAGGCACTGATGGAGGTGCCCATAAGGCACGCTGTATATATATCCAGGTGCCACTGGAAGCCTTCAAGGAAAATAAACGAGTGAGGCCACGACTCTGAATCATGTTGAGTCATTATGGTAAATGGAAACGGAAGAAATGGAGAGTTGTCGGGCAGGTTGAGAGGTAAAGAAGAAGGTCGTGGGAAGAGTAATGTGTGTTTATTATTCATGCAACAAAGCCTTTAATAATACTTTCTTAAACGTTGTCCTTTTTGAGGGACAACTTCTTGGGAAGTGAAGAACATAATAACGAAAAAATGGAATGTTTCCAAGACCTCACATTGGCCATATTCTTTATTTTAAAGTGTTTTGTTATATTATATTATTATTAATACTGTATTTAATATTAATAATATCCTTATTTCTTCAAGTACATGTACAAGGTATACAGTCCTGGCTGACATCAATGACATATTTCTGAGTAGAAAGCCGCTTGTTATGCTGAGCATTTCGGGTAAATTAGGTCAATTTTGTCCCAGGATGCGACCCACACCAATCAACTAACACCCAGGTACCTAATTTACTGATAGGTGAACAGGGACAACGGGTTTAAGAAAACACGCCTAATGTTTCCATCCTTGCCGGGAATTGAACTACGGATCCTCAGTGTGTGAAGCAAAAGCTTTGCCTACCAGGCCAGGGGTAGAAATTAATATGATTTATTTTATCTCGCATTCTAGTTGTTTCTTCTTGACCTGGAAATGTGTGCAGGAAGGCGGTGTTGTTCTACTGGTGAGCTGGAGGAATGTGCTTAGCTGGTACTGGATACATAACTGTTAGTTAGGTTAGGTTAGGTTAGGTTAGGTTACGTTAGGTAAGATTCATCAGGAAACAGGTCAAGTGTTTCCTGAGGAGAGTCTCAATCATAAGATAACCCGCCACTGCAGCTTTTGGTCACATGACCGAAGCCTTCCACTGGCTCACCAATCCACCACTATTAAAATATTTTTTTATTCAAGTATTAGTAGTTGATAGCTGTACCTGAATGCTTAAATACTGTGTAACGCATCTCTGGTCTGTTTTACCCTCTGCACCGACAGTCAGGCATCACTCACTCCTCCACCATCCTCTACATTCACACCAGTGCTTTGAAAAATGTCAGGGACAATTTCAGTGCAAAATTTTGCAATTTACCAGTAACTTCTGCAAGTGAAGCAAATACACACACACACACACACACACACACACACACACACACACACACACCACACACACACACACACACACACACACACACACACACACACACACACACACACACACACACACACACACACACACACACACACACACACACACACACACACACACACACACACACACACACACACACACACACACACACACACACACACACACACACACACACACACACACACACACACACACACACACACACACACACCACGCACACACACACACACACACACACACACACACACACACACACACACACACACACACACACACACACACACACACACACACACACACACACACACAACATATATATATATATATATATATATATATATATATATATATATATATATATATATATAATATATATTAATTAATCAATTTATGTATGTATGTATGCATCTATCTATCTGTTTACATATATATATATATATATATATATATATATATATTAATATATATAATTATATATATATATATATTATAATATATATATATATATATATAATAGAAGTTTAATGCGACATGGCGCAATAATATTGGTTCTTTGTCTGTGCTTAAAAGTGGTTTTCGTGAATCAGAAATCACCCACTTAAAAAGTAAATTTAGGTCACGGTTTTGGGTCATGCTGAATCATTATTGTAAACGTTGTCATGACAAATTGGAAGACGCAGTTGAGGAGGAGCGTGAGTTGGGAAGACACTGGTGAGAAGATAAAGAGAATGGTGACTGTTGCACATGTACAGACTACAATGATAACTTTGCATGTGTTCTCTTGAAGTTGTCTAACCTAACTTATTGTATAAGTTTTCTTCCAACACTCACATCACCGTTTTCACTAATTGTGTAACTAATTATTTATTATTGTGCAGAACTCATTATTATTTTATTGTTTTAACATATCGTTCATTTTCCAACGAGGCAGAGTGACCCAACGAGGCAGTGACCCAACGAGGCAGAGTGACCCAACGAGGCAGAGTGACCCAACGAGGCAGAGTGACCCAACGAGGCAGAGTGACCCAACGAGGCAGAGTGACCCAACGAGGCAGAGTGACCCAACGAGGCAGAGTGACCCAACGAGGCAGAGTGACCCAACGAGGCAGAGTGACATTTTCACCATCACTCACTCCATCACTATCTTGCCAGAGACATGCTAATACTACAGTTAACAAAAACTGCAATATATCTCCACCCTTCCTTCAGAGCAAAGACACTGTACTTCCCACCTCCAGGACTCAAGTCCAGCTAACCGGTTTCTCCGAATCCCTTCATGTTTCTTTGCTCACACTCCAACAGCGCGTCAAGTAACAAAAGCCATTAGCCTCCACTCCTATCTAACACGCTCACGCAAGCTTGCTGGAAGTCCAAGACCTTCGCACACAAAACCTCTTTTATCCCCTCCCTACAACCCTTCCTAGGATCACTCCTACCCCGTCTTCCTTCCACTACAGTTTTATACACCATCGAAGGCATTCAATTTTGTTCCATTCTCTCTTAATGTCCGAACCATATGAACATTCCTTCCTCAGCCCTCTGGATAATACTTTTAGAAATCACACACCTCCAGCTTATCTCCAAGGTTCTCCAGGATTCTCTGCATAATATTCACACCACACATTGCCCTCAAACACAACGTCTCCACTGTCTCCAGCCTTCTCCTTGTTGCAACATTCACCAACCATGCTTCACACCCATATAAGAACGTTGGTACCACTGTACTATCATACATTCCCATTTTGCTTCTATGGATAACGTTCTTTGTCCCCACAGACTCCTCAGTACACCACTCACCTTTTCCTTTCATCAGTTCTATTGTTACCCCTCGTCCTTCACAGACCCATGTGCTGACAAGTCCACTACCAAATATCTGAAAACATTCACTTCCTACATACTCCCTCCCTCCAGCCTGACATCCAGTTTTTCATTACCTAATTTTTTTTGTTATCCTCATCACCTTGCTCTTTTCTATGTTCACTTTTAATTTCCTTCTTTTACATACTCTCCCAAATTCGTCCACTAACCTCTGCAACTTCTCTTCAGAATCTCCCAAAAGCACAGTGTCATTAGCAAAAAGCAACTGTGATAACTCTCACTTTGTGTCAGATTCTTTATCTTATAATCACACACGTCCATCACCCGAGCATTCACTTCTCTTACAACTCCATCTATAAATATACTGAACAACCACGGTGGCATCACATACCCCTGTCTAAGACCTATTTTTACTGGGAAATAATCTCCCTCTCTCCTACATACTCTAACTTGAACCTCACTATCCTCGTAAAAGCTCTTAACTGCTTTCAGTAACTTACCGCTTATTCTATACACTGGCAACAACTGTCATATTGCTTCCCTATCCACCCTATCATGCCTTTTCCAAATCTTTAAATGCAGCGAAAACCTCTTTATCCTTATCTAAATACTGTTCACTTATATGCTTCACTGTAAACACTTGGTCTACACACCCCCTACTCTTACTAAAGCCTCCTTGTCCATCTTCAGTCCTGCTCTCCATCTTACTCTTAATTCTTTCAATCGTAACTCTGCCATACATCTTACAAAGTGTACTCAACAGGCTTATTCACTTATAATTCTTACTCTCTTTTGTCCTCTTCGCCTTTATTCAGAGGAACTGTGCATGCTTTCTGCCAATCCCTAGTTACATTACCCTTGCTCATACATTTATTAAATAAACTCACTAACCATACCAAAACTATATCCCCAACAGCTTTTAGCATTTCTGGCTTGATCCATCAATCCTAGCTGCTTCACTCTCATTCATTCTATCCACAGTATCACGCAACCCCCACACCCCCCATCCACAATCACATCCGGCTCTTCCTCGTTCCTAAAAGACATTATACCTCCGTGGCCAATGCACGAAATCACAGCTTCCCTATCTTCAGCAACATTGAACATTTCCTCAAAATATTCCCACCATCATCCTGATAAATCCAACTCTCCATCTAATAACTCTCCTAGCCTATTTTTAACTGTAAATTTAATTTTTTCTCTAGGTTTTCTCAACTTATTAATTTCACTTCAAAACTTTTTCTTATTAGCAAAATTGTTTAACAGCATTTCACTCACTCTCTCATTTGCTCTCTTTTTAACCTCTCTTAACCTCTCTTTTTCTCTCCATGTACCTCTCCCTCCTTGTATCACTTCTACTTTTGCAAAAACCTCTTACATGCTAACTTTTTCTCTCTTACTATTCTCTTTACCTCATCATTCCACCAATCACTCCTCTTTCCTCCCGCATCCACCCTCCTATATCCACAAACTTCTGCTGAACACGCGAACACTGCATTTTTAAATCTATCCCATACCTCTTCAACTTCATTGACTATACTCTCACTAGCCCATCTTTCTACCAATAGTTGTTTATACTACCCTAGCTGTCTCCTCCTTTAGTTTATAAACCTTCACCTCTTTCTACTTTCTGATACCATTCTTCTTGCACTCCATCTAGCTTTTACTCTCACTGTAGCTACAACTAAAAAAATATCTGATATATCTGATACCCCTTTATATACATGCACAACCTGAAGTCTATCCATTATCCTTTTATCCACCAATACATAGTCCTACAAACTACTGTCATTTCGCCCTGTATCATATCTTGTATATTTATTTATCCTTATTATTTTAAATATGTATTACTTATTACCATACCTCTTTCTATACAAAGTTCAATCAAAAGCTACCCATTATCATTTACCCCTGGCACCCCAAACTCATCTACCACGCTCTCTACAACTGTTTCTCTCACTTAAACATTCATGACCCCTCCCAAAATTACTCTGTCACTTGG